CTTGTCTCAACTACTGCAACCCCATCCTCATTGGACTACCTTTACATGGGCTATCCCCATTTCAGTCCATCATGAATGCTGCTGCCAGACTCATCCACCTTTCCAACCATTCAATGTCTGCTTTCCCTCTCTGCCAATCTCTCCACTTGCTTCCGCTCACCCAGCAAATAAAATTCAAAATACTAACAACTTTAAAAGCCATACACAACTCTGCATCTGGCTACATCACTAAGCTGGTATCAAAATATCAACCAAACTGCTCTCTTTGGTCCTCTCAAGACCTCCTGCTCTCTAGCTCCCTTGTCACCTCCTTCCATTCTCACCTTCAGGGCTTCTCTGTCAGGGCAGGAGTGGTGGAATGGGCAAGCAGGCCTAATGGTAAGGTCACACAGCGACTGACGACAGCCGCTACTCACAGACCAGAGTCCCTCAGGGCGCGGAGTCTAAGCCCCAGGCTGCCCTTCACCAGGACCCCTGATGGTGGAGATGGACTTGACGCAGCCTGAGACCAGGTCGCGGCCCCCGAGTAACCCCAATGGCGTACAGCTGGTCGGAGCCAGATGGAAAACGTATAGCGTGGTTGGACAGGCCTGGTCGATAACAACGGAGCAAACAGTACAAGACAGTAGACAAGAATACTCAGGTCACGGGCCGGGTTCAGCAACGGGAGGTCAGGTAATGGGATAAAGCAGAGAATAGTCTTGTCCAAGCCGAGTCGGTTACCAGGAGAGCAACGAAAACAGAACAAGAGCTTGCTGCAAAGGAACATACAGGACACAAATGCAAAGAGCAACTGCAGACAGCAGGCTTAAATGTGATCAGCCACACCCTTCTGGAGGAGGAGCCGCAGAGGCCTGAAAGCATAAAGGCTCCCACCATGCTTTGCAGGAACTTAAGATGGATGCCAGCACATGGAGCAACACAATCTCTGAAGAAAGGTAGGACCTTGACATTCTCCCATCCTATGGAACTCCTTACCCCAAGCTGTCCGACTATCTCCTAATCTATTAATCTTTAGATGATCCCTGAAAACTCTTCTGGTTAAAGAACCCTATTCTGCTTCTAACAAATACACTGTTTTTTAATTTCTCCATCAGCTCATCCCCACAGTTCTTAGCTTCTGTATAACTTTACTTTCTCCCTCAGATTGAAAACTCTAATGAGAGGGACCCTCTGATTCATCTTGCACCAAATTGTATTGTAATTGTAATTATTATTATTATTATACATTATTTATATAGTGCCAAAAGGTTTGCTCAGTGCTGTACATTATAGTGGGGGACAGTACATGAGACAATGCAGTAACAAGACAAAACACGAGGGGTTCGAGGGCCCTACTCTTTCGATCTTACAATCTAGGAGGGAGGGAATAGTGGTACAGGAGGAAGTGGCTGTAGGGGATGGAGTAGTAGGAGGAGTGTAGAGTGTAGATAAGCAATTAGGTGAGGGTGGGGTAGGCTTCCCTGAAGATGGGTTTTCAGGGTGCGCCTAAAGGTGAGGAGGGAAGGTGACAGTCTGATGGATTGAGGTAGAGAGTTCCAGAGGATGGAGGAAGTCCTGGAGAAGTCCTGCAGTCGGGCGTGGGAGGTGGAGACCAGGGAGCTAGAAAGTAGGAGGTCTTGTGAGGAGCGAAGATACGGGTAGGGTGGTATTTGGGTATTAGGTCGGTGAGGTAGTTTGGGGAAGTGGCTTTGTATGTCAATGTTAGTAGTTTGAATTTAATGCGTTGGGCAATCGGAAGCCAGTGGAGGGATTGGCAGAGGGGGTGGCAGATACAGAGCGGTTAGTAAGGTGGATGAGTCTGGCCGCTGAGTTCAGGATAGACTGAAGCAGGGATAGTCTGTGATGAGGTAGGCCGGTGAGGAGGTTGTTGCAGTAGTCGAGTCGTGAGATAATAAGGGAGTGAACGAGTTGTTTAGTAGTGTCTGGGGTTAGGAACGTACGTATTTTGGAGATGTTGCGGAGATGGAGCCTGCATAAGTTTGCCAACGATTGGACATGGGGTTGGAAGGACAGGTTTGAGTTAAGAGTGACAGTGTAGTTTATTAAGGAGGAGGGGGTGGTCAACTGTGTCGAAGGCCGCAAAAAGGTCGAGGAGTAAGAGGACTGAGTAGTGGCCATTAGCTTTGGCGGTTAGCAGGTCATTAGTAATTTTGAGTAGGGCGGTTTCGGTGCAGTGTAGGGGACGGAAGCCAGACTGTAGGGGATCGAGGAGGTTGTTGTCAGTGAGGTGGGCGCTTAGGCGATTGTAGACCAAGTGCTCGAGGAGCTTGGAAGTAAATGGCAGCAGGGAGATGGGTCTAAGGTTGTTCAGGTCGGTGGGGTCCAGGGAGGGTTTTTTGAGTATTGGAGTGATGTGCGCGTGCTTTAGGGGAGAGGGGAATGTGCCAGTGGAGAGGGAGAGATTGAAGATGTGGGTGAGGGAGAGTAGGATGGAGGAGGAGGGTGACCGGAGGAGTTCTGTGGGGACAGGGTCAAGTGGTGAGGCGGGCTTCTGAGAAGACCTTAGTAACCTCCTCAGTGGTAGCAGTGCTGAAGGAGTGGAGTGTTGGGGAGGAGAAGGTATGCGGGATGTTATGTGTGGTCGGGGGCAGGGCGGTTGCGAGGTCAGAGGAGGGGAGAGTTGATGGGGTTATATAGTGGGAGGGAGGTAGGTTGAGCATTGGCGGTGTCCTTACGGATTGCATCAATCTTGTTTTGGAAGTGATTGGCAATCTCGTGGGTGGTGACTGAGGTACTGGGGGGGGGGGGTGGGGGGGAGAGAGTAGAGAGTTGAAAGTGGAGAAGAGCCGGCGAGGACAGGTTGAGAAGGTGTTGATGAGGGTAACAAAGTAGGCTTGTTTGGCGGCATGGAGGGAGGAGGTGTAGGTGAGGAAGGTGGATTTGTAGAGGGAGAAAGCTCGAGGGGATCTGGTTTACGCCATAATCGCTCCAGCGCATGACTGGGGCGTCGTTTTTAGATTTTTAGTGTGGTCGTTCTACCAGGGTTGAAGCGGTTGGGGTCTAATGCTACGTGTGGTCAGGGGTGCTAAGGAGTCTAGGGCAGCTGATAGCGAGTCGTTGTACGCAGTAGTGGCCAGGTCAGGGCATGATTTTGGGAGGGTACTGTCGTACAGACGGTCAGCTGCAGAGTGGAGAGGCCGGGTTCAGGTTGCGGAGGTTACGGCTGGTGATGGTTTGAGGTTCGGGGGGGGGTTGTTAGAGGACGGGGAGATGGCGAACGTAATGAGGTTGTGGTCAGAGAGAGGGAAAGGGGTGTTTGTGAGGTCGTGGAGGGTGCAGAGATGGGAGAAAACGAGGTCCAGGGTGTTCCCGTCGGTGTGGGTGGAGGACTGTGTGCACTGAGTGAGTGAAAAAGAAGCGGTTAAGGGGAGTAGTTGGGATGTAGCCGGGTTGTTGACATTAATAGGGATATTGAAGTCTCCAAGGAAGATGGTGGGTAGCTCAGAGGAGAGCAAGAAGGGTAGCCAAGCGGAAAAGTCGTCAAGGAAGCGGGATACGGGTCCAGGAGGCTGATAGATTACTGCAATCCTCAGAGGGGTGGGGGAGAAGAGTTGTATGCAGTGGGCCTTGAAGGAGGAGAAGGATAGAGAGGGGGGTTTGGGAGGACCTGGAAGGTGCTCAGCGGTGACAAGAGCATGCCGACCCCATCACCTCTACGGCTGCTCGGTCTGGGTGAATGGGACCAGACAAGACCTCCATAGGAGAGTGCCGCAGGCGAGGTGGAGTCAGTGGCTTGGATCCAGGTTTCGGTGACTGCTAGGAGGTTTGGGAGTGGGAGAGATAAAGTGGGTGAGTGAGGTGGTGAGGGGCCAGGGTTTGGGGAGATATCCCCGGCGGTAAGGAGGAGAAGGAGGGTGAGAAAGGTGGCATGGGAGCTGGATGTGCAAGAGCGTGAGGGTCTGTTAGTGGTGGCATGTGGGTCAGTGGGAGAGTGGAGTATTAGGAGTAGGTGGTGAGAGCCGTGGTGGGGAGATGGAAGTAGTGAGGGTCTAGGGGTAGAGGGAGGAGATTTTGTGAATGGAGGAGAGGAGTACGAGGAGGAGGAGTACAGGTGGCATATTAGGAGGGTGGGCGGAGTGCTGGTCAATTGAGGGAGGTGAAAGGTGTCACATCAGACCGTGTAGATGCGGAGAGTCGGGTCGCGCAGTGGCAGAGGAGTTCATCTGTGGGAGGGAAGGGAGAGTGTAGTGGGCAGCTGGATCTGCTGCTGTCTATTCATGGCAGTCTGTGGGTGCTGTAGGCCGGCGTCTGGAGGTGCTGTGGGGCACAGCGTCTGGGGGTGCTGTGGGGCACGGCGTCTGGAGGTGCTGTGGGGTGCAGCGTCTGGAGGTGCTGTGGGGTGCAGGTGTTTGGAGGTGCTGTGGGGCGCGGTGTCTGGAGGTGCTGTGGGGCGCGGCGTCTGGAGGTGCTATAGGGCCTGGCGTCTGGAGGTGCTGTAGGCCCGGCGTCTGGAGGTCCTGTAGGGCCCGGCGTTTGGAGGTGCTGTAGGGCCTGGCGTTGGAGGTGCTGTAGGGCCTGGCGTTGGAGGTGCTGTAGGGCCCAGTATCTGGAGGTGCTGTAGGGGCCAGCTTTTGGAGGTGCTGTAGGGGCTGGCGTTTGGAGGTGCTGCAGGGCCCGGCGTTTGGAAGTGCTGTAGGGCCTGGCGTCGGAGGTGCTGTAGCGCCCGGAGTCTGTAGGCCGACGTCTGGAGGTGCTGTAGGCTAGGCGTCGGTAGGTGCAGTAGGGCCCGGGGTCTGCGGGTGCTGTGGGCCGGCGCTTGTAGGCGTTGCAGGACAGCACTTGTGGGTGCTGTGGGCCAGTGCCTGTGGGTGTTGTAGGGCCCGGCGTCTGTGGGAGTTGTAGGCCGCGTGGCAGGCTCACGTGACGGGGCTCAGGGCTGAGCGGTGGCGGGGCATGGGGGGGGCGGTTGCGTGGCACGGTGGGGAGCTGGGGAGCCATGTTGGTGGTGGTGGCTTACCCTCTCAGTGCCGGCGGTGGTGGCTTCTCCTGACGGTGCAGGAGTAGGAGGCAGGGGCTCTCTCAGCGGTGGTGGTGGCGGCTGTAGGACCCGGTAGGGGTGGTGAGAGGTTCCCCTCTTTCTGGCACAGGACGGTGGTGTCTTGGGTTGGCAGGGAGGACCGCGGCTTCGCAGGCCGTGTGGGCCCAGTACCCCTCCTGGGTGACGGCAGGACCTTCGGAGCGGCGGCGTCACGGGCCACTGCGGCGGTTGTAGGTACCGACGGGGGTGGAGGTGATGGTAGCATCCCCTCTGTCATGGAAATTTTCTATTACAGGTTGAACTTTAAATGTGTCATATATTAGTGTTATTCATATGTCTCTCGTGTGGCTTAATTAAAGCTCTGAAGGCTGCAATTAGGCCATGCGCATTTACAATGTATATATTACAGTACTCAGCTCGGTAATGGATGAGATGGCAGATCTGCGCTTATAGACCGGCGTGTATACCACCACGGCATTCGATGCGAATGCTGCCGGCGGAAGGCCGCGGGCCTGTATCCACATATCAGCAGCATAGTACCACATGGACTTCGTATGGCCAGGCGCCGGGCAGTGCGAACTCCACGTGTAGGCTCATGTATATCTCCACAAGCCGCTACCGACCTGAACTGTATCTGGATGGATGTGTTTTAATAAAGATTGTATCGGGCCCATTCAGATACAGACTGACACTGTTTAATCTAGGGGATGCTTGTACAGACAATGAACATACTGCTAGGAGCTGATAGCATGTAAATGATGGGACCAGGGGGAGGGGGAGGACTGGTTTAACTGGTTTTCAGTATAGGTAAGAAGGAACATTACACTCCGAGCAGGATGGACATTCTCGTGTATGGACACCCCCTATACATTAACCTGTGGGAGGGGATTGACCTGACCCCTGTGTGGGGGGGCGTGTGTGTGTGTTTTTTTGTAAAAGAATAAAACAAGAGTCTGGGGTTAGAGCCAGACAGAGTGGATTCAAACTCCAACCTGAGAGTATCGTCTGATGATTCCTGGGTAACGGGAGCTCCATTTTTCCCCACATCTCAAAAGAGCTAAACCTTTGCATACCAGTTGGAGGCGCAGGAATCGTGGTAAGTGGAGGGCGCAATACGGCTGCAGCAAAGTTCGCACAGCTTTACATGGGATTGCTGCGCATCCAACTGCGGGTACTCACGGTAAGGAAAAATTCATTGAAAACGAATTTCCAAGACACCTCGTCCCTATTGCTGGGGCGGCGGCGTTTCAAAGGCGACTCAGTACGTCGCGGCTGCGGTCGGCAGGAAAGACTGCGGCTTTAGGTGCCGCGGTAGGCCGTGAGCCGCCAGAGCTCCGCCGGAGGGAGTGAGCATCCAGCACCCCTTCAGGGTGTTGGCAGGACCATGTAATGTCTACCCTTATTTTTGTAAAGCACTGTGCTAACTGTTGGCGCCATATAAATCCTGTATAATAATAATTCAACATCTTTTTGCAGGTAAAAAATGTGTATTTATTATTTACTTACTAGATGCCTAGAAAGCATTGCACCCAAGATCAGCAGATCTGTCTGTATACCTGTGTGCTTGTACTTCCGATGAGCAGGCACATATACACAGGTATAAAGAGACAATGAACTACCATAGCGCTCAAAACCCGAAAAGGCAAAAGATTCTGTGAAGGAATTACGAAGCTGGGTGTGTGAGATGGGGAAACAGCTCTCATTGTTTGAATACTGCTTGTGTGGAGTAAATTAAATGTTTTGACTGACATTTAGCCACAAGATGGCACTGTTTTTCTAACACAGCCTCAGACTGCATAGAGATTTCTATATTCATGAAGAGGTGGAGTTTTCACACAGAGGAGAGCAGCCATGTTCTGGAGAGTGGTGAATGAGGGGGGCTGTGTAAGCTGAGAATCTGATGACATCCAGGTGTGAGAGCAACCAGGAGGCTGTCAACCTGCTGCATACAAGGCTGTGAGTTCCTAGAAGCTGTGGAAATTCATTCTGCTGTTCGAAAATTCGATTGATGTCCTTAAATAAATGCTGGTTTTTATCCTATGAAATGTGAGTGGTTTGGCTTGAATTAATTATAAAAGGGGTATAACAGTATTACACTATTAGTCTTTTTTCCCTTTTTGGAACTTGGTGATGTGGAGAGGAGACGAGTGGAGAAAATATCCATAGATCTGAGGTGGAAAATAGAGGAGTCCTCAAAGGGGGTCCAGGAGCCCTAATAATCCTGAAAGGTGTTTTACTCACCATTATCTGGTGAGTGTGGTTTATGTTGGTTTCGGCACTGGTGGATGGTGGAAGAATTATTTGAAGCACTGAAGTTTATTTTTGAGAAAGTTTTTTTAGGGATCACTGGACTTTTGATTTGTAAAAAAATGTCACGGGTTTGTGGTAACTTATCTTTATCACTGGACTTTAAAGATCATTTATAATATAATAAGTTTATATTCACTTATTATTTTAATATTTGTGTTTTGCGCTGGTTTATATTGGAAAATTTGTGAGAGCAACCAGAGCTGCAGCTAAGTGAAGCTGATGAGATTGCTGCCAGGAAGCTGATGAGATTGCTGCAGGAATGCTCATGAGAGCAGGGGAACTAAGCAATATATACGGCGAGACCGCATGCTTGTTGGAGAGACATTTGTTCTCTTCAGAGTCACCAGCGGATGCAAAGCAGACCCAGGTCGGTAAGATCGTGCACGCACCTCATTTCAGTGTTGGCGCCTTGAGACCGAGTCCAGGTCTATAGTTAGTTAGTTAGGGTCTCTGTTTGTGTCAGGCCACAAGTGTTGTTACTGATCATTGGAAGGACTCCACAACTTAAAGTGACATTTCACATTGGAGAGCTGATAAAATTCTACAAACTCAAGCCAGACTGGCATTTTGCTCAGAAGGAATACTCGGGCACGTGCTACAGGACCAGTTATGGGAGGGAGAATACTGTAGATTTGTGTAAGATTGTAAGCTGTTGTGCTGCACCACAGGCTAGCCCATACCATACACCCATACACTGATTCCAGCTCTTTTAGGGTAATAACGGGTAAGGTGTGGCAGCTTAGTTGTGCCCGCCAGTAGGTAAATTACTACTCTTTCTACCTTCATCCATCAGAAGGCACCGTGCTGTGCAGCACAAGGGTCTCAGCCTTTGGGCTGGGTGTATGTAAATTTTTATTGTATGTTCCCAGCATTTGTGGTTGTGTTTATTTGCCACATCTAAGTAAAATTCTGTTGTGGCAAAAGCTGGTGTTGGGGTTGCTTTCCTTGTTCGTGACTTCACTATATCCTGGGGAGCCCACCCCGGTACACGGCCTACAGGTGGACAGAGCTCTACACTGGGGGGGCAGTGGAAACTGCAGCACTAACTACTAACTGGACACAAATATGGGTGTAACATGTTAGAAAAGGTAAACTTATCTTTTAAAGGTTTCAAAAAGCAGTTACTTTCCCGGCATGCTGGGAATGCTAACGGTCACATTTGCTTGTGCTTTAAACCAAACTGTAAAACCATCAAAAAGCTGGTGTCCTAACTGACCACATGTGCAACACCATGGCAGTTGCAGATCAAACAGAGGCTAAGATAGCAGCTTTCTTGGCTGAAAAGAATAAGAGGGTTCGATTTCCCTTTAAAGTGTATTTCCATTTGTATTTGAATTTGAGAAACCCCCACTATATGTTTGTTATGTGTTCCCATTCACGCAGCATACCTTAAAAAATAATAATACAAAAAACATATTTCTTACCTGTCTAGTTGTTTTTTTGATACAAGTTTATAAATAAAACTTACATAAGCATACTAAATAAATAAAATACTAAAACATATCACTCCAAAATCAGGGCTAAGAATATGCATGCATCATACATTTGGGGGGGAGGTACAACTGGGAAAATGAATGGTGGAGAAGGATCTGGGTGTTCTGGTAGATCATAAGCTTAATAAAGGCATGCCAACCTGTGGTTTCCAAAGTGAGCAACACCCTTTCTTGTATTAAGAGAGGTGTAGACTCAAGAGGGAGATATACAATTTTACCCCTGTACAAATCATTAGTAAGACCTCATCTGAAATACACAGTTCAGTTTCGGGCACCAATTCACAAAAAAGGATATTGGGGAACTGGAGAAAGTGCAGAGATGGGCAACCAAACTGATAAGAGGCATGGAAGAGCTCAGCTATGAGGAAAGATTAGAGGAACTGAATTTATTCTCTCTTGAGAAGAGGAGGTTAATGTGGGATATGATCAACATGTATAATTACATAGGTGGTCTATATAGTGAACGTGGTGTAGAGGTAATCACTTTAAGGTCATCACAGAGGACAAGGTGACACTCTTTACATCTGGAGGAAAAACTATTTAATCTCCTAATACGGAAAGGTTTACTCACGGTAAGAGCTGTGAAAATGTGGAATAGACTCCCTCAAGAGTTTGTTCTGGCCAGTTCAGCAGATTGCTTTAAAAAAGGCCTGGATTTTTTCCTAAATGCACATATTATAACTGGATACTAACATTTATAGGTAAGGTTGATCCATGAACAAATAAAATATAAATGGTGTAGCGCTGATACTCTAATCAGAAATATCATGCAACTAGTATATATACTTGTAACAAAAATGAAATACTCCTTTGTGACTATGAGAAATATACCATAATCTCATAGGTAGCATAAAGATCAGAAAATAAAACACACAATATACATAAATCCACATCAGTGAATCACACCATAGAATTAACAATCACTAGTGTAAGAGTAACACACTCAATCAGTGACAAATGGTGATATATCAGTCCACTTTGCACACAAGTGAGAAAATCTTCATAAACGTGAAGGTGCCATATGTGCCAAGGATCCCAAAATGGTCTGAGTGCCCCCTCACCTCCTTGCAGTGACCACAAGGGCCAGCCAACTTTGTAATAACCTCCCGACGATCTCCTAAGGATCACCTTTCCAATTTGGACTGTGATGGTTACTAACCAGGGCTTTGACAAGACCTTCTCCTGCACTCCACCGTTCTGGCAATGCCTCACGTCCCTTAGGTTCCACTCAGAGACACAAATAGAAACGCTCCACAGTGTAATATAATCACTTTATTGTATCAAAGTAAAAAATACTCACTCACATATTAGCAGGTATCAAAAAACGCCAGCTGTGTGACCCTGTTGAAGTCGCGAGCTACTCGTGATGCAACGCGTTGGTACGCCTATCGCCAGTTCCGGGACGCGGTGACGTCATTTCCGGCGCACGCGCCATATTGGGACTCCATGAAGCCACATGCTATGAGGACAGCTGGCGGTTTTTGATACCTGCTAACATGTGAGTGGGTATTTTTAACTTTGATACAATAAAGTGATTATATTACACTATGGAGCGTATCTATTTGTGTCTCTGAGTGGAACCTAAAGGGACGTAAGGCATTGCCAGAACGGTGGAGTGCAGGAGAAGGTCTGGTCAAAGCCCTGGTTATTAACCATCACAGTCCAAATTGGAAAGGTGATCCTTAGGAGATCATTGGGAGGTTATTACAAAGTTGGCTGGCCCTTGTGGTCACTGCAAGGAGGTGAGGGGCACTCAGACCATTTTGGGATCCTTGGCACATATGGCACCTTCACATTTATGAAGATTTTCTCACTTGTGTGCAAAGTGGACTGATATATCACCATTTGTCACTGATTGAGTGTGTTACACTTACACTAGTGATTGTTAATTCTATGGTGTGATTCACTGATGTGGATTTATGTATATTGTGTGTTTTATTTCTGATCTTTATGCTACCTATGAGATTGTGGTATATTTCTCATAGTCACAAAGGAGTATTTCATTTCTGTTACAAGTATATATACTAGCTGCATGATATTTCTGATTAGAGTATCAGCGCTACACCATTTATATTTCATTTGTTTATGCTATTTGTTGGTACATTAGTAGGTGTTAGCAGCTTTTATTGTTCATTTATTTTTTATCCATCTAAGAGCAGGAGTTTTGTTATACATTCTTTTAAGGTTGATCCATGGGATATCCAATTGCCAATTATATATATATATAATAATGTTAGCTTTTTATTGGTTGATCTATGGACTTGTGTCTTTGTTCAACTAGGCTAACGATGTAACTATGTCAAAATTAAAGCTTACCACAATGTTTCCTTTCATTTTAAAAAAAGTTGTGTGGGCCAAGTTGGCTTAAATGAACTATTTCTCTTACTAATAAATGTCAGCGCTGTATAAAGTGTATATAGCATCAGCTACATACAGTATACAGCACTGCATTCAGACACCAGTACCTAGACTTCGGCCTTCTTCCAGAACAAAAGCGAGTTGAACTGAGCTCAGCCATTCACAGAAGTCTTGTATTTTTATGAATGAATATAAGGCTTCCTCTGATTGGC